GCTGGGCGTGCAGGCTGGGAAGGACACAACACGGCCCAGGAGAAGGAGCCCGCAGCTCCGGGCCGGCTTTCCCCGCGGCACCCGCAGCCAGCCCGGCCGCGCTGCGAGCCGCAGCCGCCGCGGAGCCCCCGCGGGCCGGGCCGGAGCAGCGGGCACAGCGTCCCCGCCTGGCCGGGGGCCGCCACACGGGCTGCGGCCGAGCCCGCTGCCACAGCCGCCCGCTCCCCGCGGCGCCCTCCTGCAAAAGTGCTCCGGAATCCTGCCCAGAGCGGCGCTCACCTCTCCGCGGGCGGCTCCTCCTCCGGCCGATCCTGCCGTGACTCCTGCTCAGCAGCGGGGTTGAGGCGATGGGACGGAGCATCAACCCCCACCGCGCCGGGGCTCCTGCCTTCCCTCCTCTCCGCCGCCTCCCCGCCGGAGCTGCTGCTGCTGCCGCTGCCGCCGCTGCGGAATGAAGGGCTGAGCCCAGCCTCTTGTTTTTTTCCCTTTCTGTTTAAGCGCCCGGGTGAAAAAAAAAAAAAAGGGAGATTGAAAACACAACACAAAAAACCCCCACCGGGGATTTCCACCGGCAGAGCGCCGGGACTTTCCGGCCTGTGACAACCGGCGCGGCCGTGCGCCGCCAGGGGGCGCCGCCGCCGGGCAGCCCCGCCGCCTCCCCGCCCGCCGTGACTCAGCCGTGGGATTTTCGGGAGCCGGGATGTCATTTCTTCCTTCCTTATTCCTTTCCCCCCGGCCAGGGGGTTGCCCATCCCGTCCCGTAGGCTCCGCTCCGCTCACGGGCCGGCCCGGTGTTGCGTCGCTGGGTGCGGAAGAGCTCCGTGTCCCTGCGCAGAGCCACGGCGCCCCGGCCGTGCCCCCAGCCTCTGGCTGGGAGAGGGAGAGGCGGCTGCCCCGGGAGCCCTGCCCGTGTCCTCCTCCTCCTCCTCTTCCTCCTCATCCTCATCCTCTTCCTCCTCCCGGGCACGCGTGGCCAGCGCCTGCCCTGGCACACGGGGCTCGGGCTGCAGCTGCTCGGGGGTGCATGCCCACATCCCTGCCCCAGCATTCCAGCAGGACATTAAAGGGCCCGTCCCATGGAAAGTATTGCTCTTGCAAACGGTTTTCAGACCAATGCAAGATTTTTTTGTTGTTGGTTTGCTTGGTTTTGTTTTGTTTTTTTTTTCATTTAGCTTGTATGTGCTCCACAGTTTTGGCTCTGTATTGTAAGCAACCACAAGTGACTTGATTTCTTAAATTACAGGTTAGGCCAATATAGAAGCCCTTAGTCCCAATACGCTGGCATTTTTGGCAGGAGATGTTACATGTGCTTGAATCCAGCCCTGCTCAGGGTCAGATTGTTGCAGAACCCTAGGCTAAAACTGTCAAGTCAGGGAGATCTAAGTGTCTCAATATGATTGTAAATTCTTGACTGCAACTAGCAGTTTATAGGAATAATTAAATTTAATTATTGTAAACAATTAATGCACACCTTTAAACAATGTGTTTATATCTGTGCAATAAAAAACTCACCGAATAAAACACCAATATTTCAGTCCTGTTAATATAATTTATGGATGGGATGTATGCTGGAAAAGGGGCAGTTTCTTGCTCAACAGCCTTACAATCTGAAGGCACCCAGGAATTAAATACAGTGGAACAAAGTTTCTTGCAGTATTAAAACACTTCATCTTCCCAGATAATGAGCTCCTGCCTGTTCCTGAGTATCCACCCCTCCCAGTGGCAGGACGAAAAGCCAGGGTTGCTGCACACCTTGAAATCAGGTCTTAAATATTTGCTCCTTCAGAGAACAGGTGGATTTTGGATGAGTTCAGCTTTGAACTCCTTCACCTCACCTCCAGCAGCAGCAGCTGGCTCAGATCATTTGCTCGTGTCACGCAGCAGGGTTATGTGGCAACATGATCTTTCCCAGGGTTTACAGGCCTGTGCTGGCTCTGCACAGCAGCCATCCTTCTCCTCTGCCTGTGTTCAAAAAGAAGTCAGGGATATGGCCGGAAAAAGAATAATCCCTCCTGTTTTTTTCCTCCTCTCCTTGGAGAGTTTTCTTTTAAAGGTTTTTGTGGGTGTGTTGTTTTATTTCTCTTTTTGCTCCCCTAGTCTCTCTACTGTCTTGGAAAGTATAGTTGGGTAGGAAGGCTCTGCATTTGGTGATAGGTAGTCTGAGGGGTGGCTGAAATCCAGGGAACTGGATGCCTGAGGGAACTGGGCTTGCATAACTGGGGCAGCATCTGTGCTCTCATTTACACAGTATATATTTCTGCCAGCATCTTACTGTTCCCTTCTCCTGGACATTTTCCCCTGTCCTCTCTTGGGGACTGAGGTAGCAGATTGCTGAAGTGATCCGATTAGAGAAAAAAAATATTTTTATCCAAAACACGTCTCTCACGTAATATGAAGCCCAGCCCCTCACAGGGTTTTACAGAGAGTACTTGAAGTGATGGAGGGTTTCACTGTGGAGTAGGAATGGTGAGCTAAGGTGGGAAGTAGGGAAAAAAGAACTGAGTTGCATCCTGCTTTGTACAGGAAACTGCAGCAAATAAATTAACAAGTAGTCCTAGCCATGATGGAGATGCTGAGACCCAGGAAAACCTGAAAAGGCAACAACTTCTTTTATGTTTCTAAATGGTAAGCGCGTCTGAATATTAATAATTACTGTTTACACCTTGATAAACTCAAAGTTGATTGCACATTGCTGGAGCAGATGTTTATCAAACAGGTCTGAGCAGGATGGCAGGAATTCATTTGATCTGAGTTTGCACAGCACAAAATAAAGTTCTGTCTTGTCAACCATAACTCCTCAGCAATATGGGAATACATTAAAAACATCAGCAACATCAGTAGTTGTAGAATGCATGAATATACATTCCTCTTTTCTGAATGACTCCTGTTTGGGTGTTTTTTGTAGTTATACTCTACAGTTTATCTCATCATTTATGGTAGAATGCTTACATTTAATGAAATATAAGCATATATAGATATGTATAAAGTCAAGGAAAATTTTCTTCTTTAAAGTGTGTGTGTAAATGCACACACACACACACACATAACTATGGACATGCACTCATGTATTTTTAGGTAGGTATGCATGTCTGCATCTCTTGAGGGAAGAGGAAAGTTCTTGACATAAAGGACAGAATAAGAAATATTTTAATTTTCAGCTATCTACATTCTGATTAAGCATAAGGGTGAAACAGTCCGCCCTTGTAAGTGGTAATATTTACATAACCTGGAGAAAGCTGTCACTGGGAATTGCAGAATATCCATTTTTTGTGAAAATTTAGGTAATCAGTTTCATGCATATCAATCAATAGCAATTATTTATTGTACTTGGGGAAAAAAAAAAATCTCCCAAGGCCCCATTCAGGTTTGTATCTCTAAATTATTTTAATTACTTTGCTTCTTTTTGCTGTTCAGGAAGGAGTAGCTCACACTCACTAAATTAAACCAGGACCTCAGAGTGTTCAGAACACCATTGCCAAATGTTTGAGAGGCTGCACTAGGAAAGACTCAATGTTAAGAACAGTACTCACATAATATTCAATGCTAGGATGATGACTATAGTAATATGACTATATTTATAGATAGTAACATCCAGGATTTTAATACTTCAATAATTTACTGTGTCTTTTAATATCAGATAATTCTTTAAGAGGTGTGATTCATCTAGTAGGGAGGAAAAGGATCATTAAAGGGAAATCCCTTTTAATGCAAGAGCAGTGCTTGAGGTCATGCTTGAGTTCAGCACTTCTGTCTTCCAGGAGCTGTTCTGTTGCTTCTTTTCCTGGTGGAGAAGTGATAAGAGCTTGTCAGTGCAAAGGAAAGAGAGGGGGGAAAATCCCCTAAACATCTCTCAGACAAATAGAAGGTTCTTATTACTGACTCAAGTAATGATGGTAAAACAAACAAACAAACAAATGCAAAAAAAACCCAAATCATGTCTGCCACTGAGCAAGAGATGAACTGGTTTTGCGATTTTTTCCATTACACCCATCTGAATACAGTAAAAGAAACTACAGATTCCAAATAAGACTTTTACTGGGTATATTGACAAATTACTGTACTGGAAGTAGGGGATTGTTATTTATGGAAGTAGGGGATTCCAAAGAAGACTTTTACCAGTGTATATTGGCAAATGACTGTACTGGAAGTAGGGATTCTTATTTATGGCCTGGAGCCAAGGCTTCCTCTGCCTTATTTTTTTTTTTTTTTTTTGTGTGTGTGTCTGTGTGAGCTCATTTTCTCCTGCTTTTTAGTATTTCTGAGAGAAGTGTCAGAAGGTCTGGAACTGCAGTGGGTTCAAAGAGGCTGAAAGTTCAAATCTTGCCTCAGCCCCTTTTGATAACCTGAATGTTAAGCTGTGAGGGTGGTATTCTCCCATTAAGGATGGTGAAGCAGTGTGAAAAATGAGCTATGGAGGCAAACACTGGGCATTTCTAAGAACAGATTTTGTCATCTGTAAGGCGATTAAGTATGGCATTAACCACACTGAAGATTTGCCTTAACCATATACTTACCTCCTGGTCTGGAGGTAAGTTTCAGCGATGTTGTCTGTGAAATGCATGGAAAAGTTTAAGCAATGATGATAAAGTCTTTGTAACTTTTTTTTATTCCTCTGATATCTGTAGATACTGCAGCAAGGCTCAGGGCCCCTAAGAACTGCAGACCTAGCTATGTACAGCTACATTTGAGACAGCAGCACAGCCCAGCATTACTGACCTTCTTCAGTGCACAGTACAGAGAATTCCAACAAGGCCCAGCAAGAAATAAGAGGAAGACCAACATTATTTCTGCTTAGGAGAGCAAAGTGATTTCAGTAGATTTTGATGCAGGCTCAGACTAGACATGTGGCTAAACTGAGTAAGTACAGCAGTAGAAAGCCAAATCAAAGGCCCATTGACCTCACTGCCTTGTTTCTCACAGAGGTTGAGAAGCTGTCCAGGAAAGAGCATAGCAGCAGGCTGGATTGTTCCCAGTACTTTTCCATCCTGTGCTTTGTCGCAGTTTCTTGTGGGATTTGGGGCTGTGGCTTACATTCTGGCATCTCAGTTTCTCAGTTGTATGGTAAGTTTGTGAATGCTTCTTTCCTCACACTTTTCTGTTATCATGCTTGTTTAACTTTGACTACACACCCTTTAGAATAGAATCCTTCCTTGTGTTGTGTTTGCTGTACTTTAACACCTAGACACATGGTTATTTACCATGCAGCATGGTCCCTGCTTCCAGAGAGTTACCATCCATGTGTAGCAAACTTCATTTAACTGTGAACCACTACTGTCAGAATGGTCTTTGATTTAGGTTGAGGGTTGTAAGCATAAAGCACTGCATAGATAGCACTGCAGAGGGATGGATTCCGCACAGGTACGTCTTTGCTTTCCAAAACTGCCTTAATGCACAGAGCAGTGGCTGGGTTTAGGTAGTGCAAGCCCAACCATTGTAGCTTTTAACTTGATCTTTAGGCTGGCATGACTGCTGTGCTACCAAAATGTCAGTGCACACCACAGCAGGGGACTCTAAAGCAGAGTCTGGTTTTGGAGCTGTTTCCTTCAGCTAGCAGTTCAGCATCCATGAGTCAGCAAGTGGTTAACAAATAAATAGCTAAAGATAAAGCCTCATGTGAAATCAAGCAGGGACTACTGTTATTTTCCTTTCTATATTCCTATCTGATGAGATGATCAGCCATTCTAACTTTAGGTATGAAGTAAGCATTTAGCACAAAGCTATATCCTCTGGGAATGGATGGGAAGGGCCAAGGAATGCAGCCAGCAAATGCTTGCTCGCTTAATTAAAGCTCTTACTCCTCTCTCCTCTGTTCCTCTAACAATTCCAACATGCAATGCAGTCAGTAAAACTTTCTTAGATAGAACAACCTGCTGTTCAGCAGACTTGCCAATCTTCCAGATCTTTAGCAGTCTGTATTTCTTCCCCAGTGAATTCTAGTTTCATTGGAAGTTCTTACTTTCTCCCAAAATAGAAGCAGTTTGTATGATCTGAATGGAAAAAAATTAACTGCAAACTGTTCTCATTTTTTTAATATTATGTCCAATAATTTTTTTTTTGTTACCTATGTTTCCATTTATTAAACTAGCCTTACCCTCTTTAAAATCAGTAAAGCTATTTTGAATTTTTTAATTTCCATGTACTTGGTGCATATTTGAATGAGTGACTGTATCATTCCTTGACAAAATGGGAAAACTGCTGATGCTGTTTTCTCTCAAGATGGAAATATCTCTTCTCAGCAGCTCTTAGTGATGGAATTACATGGGGAGGGCTAAGTGAATAAAAAGTGACCATGTGAAGGTAATCTTTAGTCATGAATCATAGAGCATGAAGCTTGTCATTTTCTTACGTAATTTTTGTCATTTCCCCCAAATCATCTAAATGTGGAGAAATAGCCATGAAATATCAGTTTCTACAGTACTTGGTGAATGCTCCTGGCTGGCTTTTATGTTTACAATTTTCTAAACATGACAGCACCATAGCCTGTTGAGTTTCTTGGGCTGTGTCAGGCCCAAAACTGCTGCCACATGGCCAACATCTCTTTCAGGAACAGACTGTTTTGATTTTGTTAGAGAGAACAGGATGGTGTGAGGGGTCTGGTACCAACAGCACTTACTGCAAACCCTGTTTTAGAGTTACTAGTTTAGATGTGAAAATTAATCTTAGTTGGCACACTCTCAACCAAACTGTTCTACTGGGGTTTTACCTCAAAAGTGCTAAGCATTCAGCAGGTTTCAGAATCTCATGTGTTAAGAGGTTAACTACATTCTGGGACTGTTCAAAGTTCACAGCCTTCAGTGACAATGAGGAAGTGAATTCATTCTTGGACTTTCAAAAGCAGAGGAAAGGCATTTCCTTTGTGTAGAGCAAATTCTGTGCATGGGGAATAACGTGAGAGGCTTTATGAGTGGCCAGAAATTCGAGTTAGCTTTCCAAATGTAGGGAAAATCTATCTGCCCTGTATCAGCAGTGCCAGAATTTCCCCAAGAAAAATACTTCCAAAGAAGGATATTTATTTACACATGGGAATTTACCAGCATATGCTGAACTACATAACAGAGTCCATAGATTTTTTCCTAAAAGCTAACAGTCATCTCCCATCAGGGAAATGGTGAGTTTGCTTTCTAAACATGGGTTTAGTCAATGTCCACGAGGTGACTCTAATCATGTGTTTTAGCTCAAAAAGTACATTGTTTTCTTCTGATTTCAGAGGGAAGGGACTCCCCATTTTTGCAATGACAGCACTTGCTAGTAAGGCTAACATAATCATTGATTCCTACACAGAGAGGATTTTTTAAGACTTCTGCTATATACACAGGAGGATTGTGTTTTCATGTCATATGCTCCCACTTTTGCAATTTTTGATGCCTCAGAAGCAAAAATTGTAGCTGCTTGCTACAAATTCCAGTTTACTCATTCAGATGGAGAGAAGTAAAAGTAGTCTCAGACAGCTTTGGAAATCATATGGGAAAAAGTAGTGTGTCATGCCTAGGAGACTTTGTAGAAATATATGCATCTGTGGTGTATGTGGAACACCCCAAATAATTATTTCTGTCCACATGGCTCTGTCTGGGACTGTCTGATCTGGATCACCTGGTCCATGTAAATGCATCTCCCTGTGCTTATCTTCTTCCTATGGAGCAGGACTCCCTTTTGATGGGGCAGTGATGGACTCCAGACTGTACAGGACAGACAGCTTCTGAGATGCCATAGGTTTAAGGTTTTTTGGTATGTCTGTAATAATTCATTGTCCAAAAGCATTTCTCATGCTTTGTAAATGAACTGATGAATTTGTCTTACACTTAAGAGAAGGCATTTCTTTATTTGGTAGACCAGTTTTAAAGAAATTTGCTTTCTCTATTGCAAAACCTTTTTTTTTTTCTTTAAAGGGAGAATTGCTGAAGTCCTCCTCAGCTCCTCATCATTGTCATCAGAATAATTTACCTTTCAAGTCGTCTCCGTACAGAAGAGTAAATGTTGAAAAAAAAGAACAAATAGATGCTTTTGCATAGTATCTAGAGTGAAGGAAATACTCTGCTGTGGACGAGATAAAGATTGAAAGTTCATTGCCAAAAATTTAAGTGCACTGCTTTATCCTATCTGAATCATGCCTGGTTTGTGGAGTAGGAGTCAAACAATTTAGGAAGTCCAGCACACATCTCATCCTGATCTCCTCAGCCCCCTCTTTCTGCTGTTCTGTCATTTTTTCCCTTTTATGGTCATGCACTTTGCCAAAACTGGTTCATTTTAAAAAGAGACGAAAGGGAAACACTAACTTTATGGCTAATTCTCAAATTTCACTTGTTGTGAAATTCCATGAGAACTTGTGGCAGAAAACCAAGGAGCCCACAGTCAGTAACTATTCCATGGGATTTGTTACCACAGTAAAGGCCTGCTGTGGCCTGTGATGTTTCAATGAGGTCAATTACATCTGCCTGCATAGGATTTCCCTGGCAATTCCAGCGGGCTTATGGCATCCTGCCATTTCCTGGACTAAATAAATAATTTAGGTATACACTGAGGACCAACTATGATATTCTCCCAAAGAAACATCTGCATTTCAGGGTTGGTACCTGCTTACAAAAAAAAAAAAAAAGAAAGAGAGAATGAGTATCAAAGAGTGCCCAGGGTCACATCATCTGCTGAGAAATACCCGACAGTGTGTGCTGGATATGTGTGTAAACAGCAATTATTCTATCAAGTAATGCATGGGCTGTATGCTCCAGTAAGGATCTACATCTATGCACATATGAGTATAGAGATGGTAGAGAAATGGAGCAGAGAAGGCTGAATCATAAGGTGATAGAGGCAGCAAAATGCAAGCAACAGGAACAGAGACTGTGGCACAGTATTTAGAGTGGGTGGTTCTCACAGCTTCCCCATGAATCCTTTGACCCTGCCATGAATAGCTTTTCATCTCTTCCCCACAAATCCTTTGAACCTTTGTGCCTTTCTGTTGTTGCGAGCACGGTGTCAGGATACTGCCCAGCAAGTGTGCAGGCTGTACCTGTGGGTGCACCCACCTCTGCTGCTCAGATGTGCCTGTGTGAGCACCCCATGGCTGCTGACTCTTACAGGGCAGTGCAAGATCAAGTCTGTCCGCCCTGATAGCGTCCTTTCTGCTCATCTTGTTGACAGCATTGTGATCAGTGATTGCCATGATTAATAAACTGTACCCTGAGAGGAGCTTAATCTGAGTCCCTTCAGTGTGATGCAAAATCAAACTGAGTGATAGGCTTCGAGCTTTTCTAGTGATCCTTCGAGATTGTCAGTCCTAGGGACACCATGTCAGCATCTGAGTGGCTCTCTAGGTATGCTCTGACATGGTCACTCTCAGCATGCCCCTGCAAGTACACTCAGCCTGGACATGTCTGTTTTATAAAAGCTCTCCACCTGAAACAACAGCCATTAGTTATTGCTGGTCACAGGCCAGGACCTAAGCATGCATCACTCCAGGAGTCTCTGTGCTTCTGTGACTGTTTACTCCTCTGGCTGCAGATCCATTACATTGGCCGTGGGAGCAGGTGTCTATATGATCCATCTGTGTTTTCTTTCTATGGTATGCTGAACCCCTAGAGCTCCAGGGAGGAAGTGACCCCTGCACACTCTGCCTTTGTGATAGATTCTTGTGGAGATTCTTGCAGAAGAAAGATCAGTTCTTCCCCCCTTGGCTGCTTGGCACGTGTATTTAACTGGGCATTAATGAAAACAGGGTTATCTCCAACCTCATGTTTGGCAGAGATTAGTTCCTTTATAGATAGGACAGATTGCACCATAGTGGGAATAGTTTACAACAGGCTAAAGTAGAGCTTTGCTGTTACTTCAAAATTCCAAGTGTGAGTCTTCAAACTGTGGAGAAACTTCCTGGTACCAGAGCCATCCTGGGCACAGAGGGTGATTCCTTCCAAGGAAGTCCTGCACAATTCTAATGAAGTTCTGAAGCAGTTTGTCTACTTCTACTGAACTCTGCATAAAACCCCCACAATGCTGTTGTAGTGCATAGCTAATTTAACATCTGAATTGCTTATCAAAGGTAAATCTCTTAGCTGAACATTCGCCACTGC